TAGCACGAAGAAATAATGTTAAATTTACTATGTGAATAAAATTATCTTGAGAGTTGCACTCAAAAATTAAAATAATACGTATAACAGTCACTGCTACGAGCGAGACACACATAAGATCATATAGACAACATGGACAAAAATTGTATAGAGAGTGAGAAAAATAAGCTGGCTTCGTTTTCACCTCTACTCCGTAATGTTTGGTGCTTCAGAAGTTACAACGGTACACATCTGAGGGAATGACTGATTTATTAATAGAACTGTACATGAAAATTATACTATACTACAATTATTTTATTCGATTGACATCTTGTGAATCGGTGGATGGAACGGAATAATAAAAAAAATTATATTTTTCGAGCGGAATCATGTGAAATAAAAACAAAATATGTTGTCCAAAAACTAAAAAAAAAATTATGATATTTATGGTGGACCACCGTAAACATTAAAAAGTATAAGAAAAAGATTTTGTCCGATTCTCAGACCTACCGGATAAGCACACGTTTCGAAGGAGTTATATTAGATAATACTCACAGACCAGCATAAAACTTGTTAGGATAACGAATACCATTATATGGTAACTAGTATATTCGAGATCAGGGTAGTATTGACCCAGTTTTATTTATTTTTGCCAATACCACATACCCCTAACATACCCCAGACTAATAGAAAGCTCGCAGGCTTTCATTAAGGTACCTCAATATACCATCACCAATCATACGGATCGGATCGAAAATTCTGCTATTAGTTATATGGGAACTAGGTAAATTTTTCGGCTAATTTTTTCCATTTTAGGCACAAAGATACACTGTTATTAGTAAAATGCGCTCTCTTATTTTTATTGAGATAATTCACATATTGGTCGATATAGTTCAAAAATCTGTATATTATATTAGGTATATTGGGGCTAACGCAGCTATTGACCCAATTCAACCCATTTTAGACATACAAACATACTATTATCAGGAAAGGATACTCTTTGCATTTCAATTATATATCTCACACATTCACCGATATTTTCTGTAAAAAGTCAATTATAGATGCAGGGGTTCACATACTCGGCACCTAGGGGCTTGAACAGTTTTGGTTTGATTTAGACAACTTTTGGTGATAAGATGGCACACTTCAAAGACACTATTCGTGCAAAGTTTTATTCCGTTATATAAATTGATACTTTATTTTTATACTGGGATGTAAACGAATCAGATGGTCGTCAAAGGTTGTCGGATTTCTATTTTCGTACTGTTACATAGGAGCCTCAAAAGAATGTTACGTACCGAATTTGGTTGAAATCGGTCCAGCAGGTCCCGGCTCTTATGAAGCCCTCTTGCGCCATCGTGGATGTGAAATCTAATGTCGCCGACACATTTAGTCATTGATTTATCACACTTTTAGTAATTTTTAAAAAACCGTTATATGGGGAGTGAGTTCACACTATCGTAAGGGCTGAAACAATTTGTCCTGTGCAAATTTTGTTAATGTAGCTTTATTAGTGTAAAAGATATATACATCAAACTTATTAGGGGTGGGGCCACACAGAGGTGCCCCTCCTTAATGTGATTCGTTGTGCCAAATTTGAGTTCAGTGTCTGAATTTACGGCTTAGCTATGGTACTTTATACGTTTTGTGGGCGTGGAAGTTATCCGATTACGCCCATCTATGACGGACGGATGGGCGGACAGACGGATAAACAGACAGTCATTCGGATTTCAAATCGTTTCGCCATCCTGATCATATGTAATTTACAAATGCTTTATATACAATTTTAAAAACTATTTTAACTAAATATTTATATATGTGTATCTGTGCATGCGAATATATATGTTGCGTAGTGTTTATGTTAAGTGATAAGGTATTGTTTTCGATGCACACATGCAATTGCCTAAATTTATTTTCAGAACCAATTGGCTACAATGTGTACATATAAACATATGCATGTTCTTATTTTAAATCATTGCATACATTTATTTATGTATGCATGTGTATTGCAATATAAATGCATTTTTGTTTTTTAAGTAGGCGAAGCATCGAAAGCCGAAGTGCGGAACTTAAATCCGCTTTCCAGTTCTCAGTGGACTGACACATGAGTGACGCCAAATTTTCCACCGTAAAACTACCACCGAGTGTAGTTTTTCCTACAAAAACTGAGTCTTGCGGGACCCTACTCGAAATAAAGTAGCTCTTGGTGCCTTCATCTGGGTCGAATATTAGTCGCTGTTTTCGAAATAACTCATAATAATGTTTACAAGATATTTGGGAGCCTGCATTTCATACAGAGCCTTGAAAATGTTTTGCCGAGTTGAAGTTCATATCCCGGGTCAACGACACGCATTTCGTAGTGTCAACATTGGACGTCAATAGTGGACCTCTTTTTCATAAAGCCGTATTGTCTTTCTGATAATTCGACAGCTTTCTGGATTGCAAACTTCAAGCGGTTTCTTACTTTGCTTCCGAACACTTTGCCAATCGTGTCAAGCATGCACAGAGGTCGATATGATGAGGCATCCTCCGGAGGCTGATTTGGTTTGGGAAGTAGAACCAATGGCTGAACTTTCCATGGGTCGGTAAATATACCTTCCTTTAAGCACGCATTTTACGATTTCGCTAACACATTCGGTTTAAATTCATGGCTTATTTTAAGGCCCTTGGCTCCTCTCAGAGCCTTTCTAAACAATTTTTTTGCTGCGGGCAATGGCTGACTTTAGAAGCATCTTTTGTGTTTTAAACATTTCTCTGAGGTTGTTTGCATTTTCCCCACATTGATTACGCTGTAGACGGCGTTTAGGTGCATTACAGAGCTTTCTCAGCGTAGCTATCTCTTCATTCCACCAATAGGCTGGCTTTCGTTTATTGTGATGTCCTATTCTACGCATAGTTGCATCGCATGAGAGTATTCCCGGAGGCGGCAGGTAGACCATCCGATCTTAACTTTGCGTACCATTAGGGGATGTAAGTGGGCTGCGCTGTTTTATTTATGTTTCTTATATTTTTAGGCTTTTTTGTTGGTGGTAAAAAGCCTAAGGTATCACGCAGCCTTTTTGGAGTATTATATACATAATGCATATACACATTATATATATAATGCATATAATTTTATGTTTGTTTATGTCTAAACGAGTATGTACGTTTTGAGCATTATCAATGATAAGAATAAGATATTTGAAAACCAGTATTCTGTCTTGGCTCGGTTATCCCATAAGCACAAGAAACAGGGATATTTGATATTATCCTCATTGGTAACCCAGAAGAGAATTTACCATTTTAAGATCGACACATAACAGCCAGTAATGTTCTATGTATTTTATTTTCTCCATTACAAATAAACCTTTTGTATAGAATCAGACGCATTTAAACGGCATTATCTAAACATACATATAGTCACCACAAATAGCACAAAAACTATTCGGATTTAAACACAGTTCTTCTTAATGTAGACATAGCGGTATATTTATGAAATTTTGTAATTTTTGCTCTAAAAATTAATTCAAGTAAGCCGGTTCAAGAAGTCCCTGTTCCACTAAAACTAGAGAGAAATAAACTGAGGGTAGATTTGAATTCAATTCGAAGTATCGGTGGGTATCCGCGACTTAGACGAAATAACCACCAAGGAAAACATAGTTGAAGCAATCCGATCGCAAAAAAGAGCTAAGCTCCATCGGGAAAAGTGCGATTAAAAGCATCAGACAGGCAAACGCGGGCACACACAGGGTGACGATCAGCCCTCCAGCGACGGTAGCAAAACTATTGCTTGACTCACAAGCTCAAGATTGGATGGGTGATCTGCATAAAAAGGGAAAAGCCGAATCTTAGGAAGTGTCTCAAGTGCTTAAAATACGGTCTGGCGTGGGCGTGTACCAGCGGCGATGATAGAGACCAATGTGGTGCCCAGTGTGGCTAAAAGGGGCACTTTAAAAATAATATAAAAAATACTATTCTGTGCAGCACGCACAAGCAACGGAAAATATAAATGGGTCATCGAATCAAAAGTTGGAAGTGTCTCCTATATCAAGCGGAGTGTAAAAAGGTGAGATGAAAGTAGTAAAAGTCAACCTAAATCACTGTCGATCTGCTCAAGAGTTGCTGAAGCAGACAAGAGTATAAAAAGGCAGATGTGGCGACAGTCTGTTAGCAGTATAAAAACATAAGCGCTGGTATAAGGATTTCTGAAAAAGAAAATAAAGCTGTCATATGGACCTGGGGCAACGTCTCCCAAGAGAAGCCGCTCCTGGAGAAATCATCCTATAGGCGGGCGAAAATATGTGGCTTATTTCTTCAATTGCTATCACAGTATCGGCAGTAAGTTCTGACAATAATTCACGCAAATAAAAGGAAGCAGGTTCAATCTTGTTTAATCAATGTACCGTAGCTCAAAACCCGGTCTAATATATTCCATCGTTAGCATAACTGAAAAGCAATCAAATGCTATTGCTGATCACTTACCGATGACCTAGCCATGCCACAATGCTATATAGAGATAGCTCAGACAGCCTTTTCTGACCTTTCGGACAGACACTACCTTAGAGCTCTAGTGCAGCTACCGCGGCCTGCCAAGGGATCGTACCATCGAATAGTTATATTCTGTATGAATTTCATACTACAGGATCACAGAGAGGTATTTCAATTCGAAGTGGTTGAGGTATAGATAGAATTAGAATTACTTCTTCAGATTTCAGCCTCATTCAGAAAGTTTAGTGTACTGCGATAGCAAGACTGGCCGTGGTTTCACTGACCTTAGTCCTGCTGTTATTACAGGGAATACTACATGCAATATCAAATGAAACGTACATGGTTCTACACTAAATATGCGGCACCACTGTACTTTTAGAGCTCCGTGTGAAAGTAAGTGCATGTTAGAAAATAAATTTTTCAAAAAAACAAAGGGGGGAAGCCTTTCCGAAATCATGGATCCGCTCTTGGTGTGGTGTCTTTCGTATTGTCTAAAAATAGTTGATACTAACAAAAAAATCCATAGTGAAGTTCAGATAATGCAAAACGAGGAGATGTATCATGAACCTGTTTATCTATAAGTAATATAAATATTTTTAGTTCAATTTATAATAATTTGTTTCTTAAAAAGGTGCAAACTTATTGAAGTGTTTTGTTAAAATAATTATCAAGCCATTTCTCAATAGCCGGAATAGCTTCATTGCTCCATTTGACTTCTTCTTTGATATTTCTTACAGATGTTTGAATAATATGCTCTGCACTATTAAAATGTCCTCGGAATGTTCTGTATAGTTGTGTAACCTTGTCATACCCTTGCTGAGTTGTAAACATCCCAGTAGCTGAACTTATTAGATTGTCCCATATATTGGTTTCATTTTGAAAACTGTGAGAGTAAAATACTTCTTTTTAAATTAACCCTGTTTAGGGGTTGTTTTGTTTTACTTACCGAACATTTATTTCCATAAAATTATACGACAAAACCTCGAAAAGAGTTTGATATCCAACAGATTCCTTGGCTAATGTTCTAATAATTATATATAAATCCCCGTTAGAGAATAGTGGGTTATTTTGTAATAGCGTCAAATTTAGTAACTGATGAATTTTATTTTCTTGTAACGGACATCCAGCTACTGATTTCAGGAGAAATGTTCTTTCGCTCTTTATTCCATTTTCAGGGAAATGTAGCACATAGTTCAGAATGAGTTCCCACTCTTTCATTGTACCCCATCTTAAAATTGGACATATATGCAGATTTTCGATTCTACAAGTAAAATGTTAGTAATGAATTATATATTGAATAAAAATATTTTGAAAGAATATATTGACCGTATTCCAAAATCTAAAGTGTTTTGATTCATCCATTTCTCAAAAGTATTACGCGCTTCTTCAATACACGGTTCATATCCACCTTTGCAAAGAAACTCCCTTGCTAATTTTCTTAAATTAGTTTTCCAATGGCTTCCATTGCCCCCTTCACTGCTTAGGTCTTCATAGAGTGGTGATAAGAGACAAACGACGTATTGCTAAAATTATGTGTATTATTAAAATTATGTTCGATCAACATGTCGACATGCAGTTTTAAGAAAAATCTATTTTTAATAGGAGATGCAAAACATCAAATAAAGAATCAAAACTTCTTTCTGATAAACCAGTTTTCGTAGTGTTATTCTACAATATTCGTCAATTGAATTAACTGTAAATGAAATGGGAAAAATCAATATATTCTTATTTAAAGGAAAAGTTAAATAGAGGGCCGAAAATATTTAATTACATTAGGGGAAGGGGTTTAAATCGATTTCATTCACATTCAGCGCTAAACCATATTTTGGGTAAGAAAACTTGTACATTTAATTTCATAAAAGTTCGATGTTGTTAAAGCAACAAATAATATAAAAAGGTGAAAAACAATACGAATTCGTTGATTTATATGGAAATATGGTATATGAGGAGACCATTTAGTTAGTTACCTCATCCATGGTTCACTCCATTTAATTGACTGTAGGAATCAATAAGGTCCTCTAGATAATTTTTCCGTTTATAAGTTTGAAAATTACATGCAATATTTAAAAAACATATAAATAAGCCCAATTGAATCCTGCAGCAATTACATTTAATAAAATTAAATATATTAATGTTTCAAAAATTATTTAATTTAATATAGATTTTACAAGGAAAAGGAATCTTATTATTATAATCACAAATTAGGCCCCATAATAGTAACAGGCATGACAGACGAATCTTTTTTGCATCTGTGCTTGTTCTTTCTTGTTTTAATAGAATTATAGAAACAATAAAACGTTCCAAAAGCACAATTTACCAGGTTATGAGCCTTGGTCCAAATTCCTGAGGTTCAAATAAATTAAAGTAAAATGAGTTCGTCTCCATTTAGTATTCTCTCATGCAGCATCCAGGTATGGTCAGTCACGCCGGGAGAAACAATGTGTCCAGAAGGAGGTGCAGAAGACAAAGCTGTAGTTTTGTGGAAAGACAAAGATGAGAAGGCGACTGCAACTATAATATTAAGTGTAACGTTAATGCAAATAGCCCATGTGAGGAATCGCCAGACATCAAGTGAAGCATGGAATACTCTTTGCGAGATTCATAGGCCAAAAGGGCCTGAGGAGTCTCGAGATGACGTAAGTTTAATTCAATAAAAGTAAAGTTAATAGAAGAGGGCGAACAGCGAAAATCTTGTGGTACGGGAAATGCCGAAGGTAGCGTTCAAGCGTTGATGATTCGAGAAAATTCTGACAAAAATTAGTTCAAGTTCGAAATCAAATAAAATACGCAGCGCATCAAACAAAGACATCAAAAGCAAGAACAAACGTCACAATCTGAAATACTACAGTTGTGGGAAAAAAGCCCATTTCGCTACTCAGTGCAAAGAAAGGCAAAACGCAGTTAAGGAAAGAAGACAACTTCAACAAATGTAATGGCTTGTTTGCTGCGATCAGTAGAAATTCGCTTCATACTGGTGCTTGGTGTGTCGACAGTGACGCAACCTCTCATTTGACTTGTTGACAACAACAAAATGTTGGCGACTGGCTGACTTGTTGGGCGTTTGCCGGGTAAATACCTTTGGGTGAAGGCAAAATTTGAAGATTTATTGTTCGACAACGTCGAATGGTTTACAATCAAATTTGTATCTTATTAACTTTTATTATAGGTCATGGACTAAATTAGTTTTATAACAATATTTTACTTCCCATCAACGAGTATTATATTAAAGTCATACACAAATAAGCACAAATAAGACATATCTGACATAAAAACAATTGAAGAGGCTAAATTTAGTACATTGAGTTGAGGTGAAAACGAGCGGATTCAATTCAGTAGAGATACGAGGTTTGGACCAAGGTCTAAATATTGTGCCTAATATTGTATTGTGTTTTTAATTATGAACAATAAACAAATGATATATCAAATTGCATATCTATTTAAATGTTTTACAAAGAAAACGTCTAATTCCCACTCAATATTAAAGAGCATATAAAATCGTAGATTTTTACTTCTTATGTACATACATGCGTATACTCTCCGCGCACGTATTGTTTGCTACGTAGTGTTTTATAAATTTACAAGTAACGAATTATAAGATTTTCACTAATACACACGCATTACGGGTTGCCTACTATTATTATACTGCTAAAACGTCCAAATGCCTCAAATCTGCTACAGTGTGTTGCCGTGTTATGTTTTAAAATTTATAACATTAAAAATTAATTACAATACATATTCAAATATTTTTCGATCATTAAAATTCCTAAAGATTAAACTTATATTTAATAAGTATATCGCTGTGGGTGATTTGGAATATTTTATAAATATTATTTAGTAATTAGAACATTGTTTGGATTATTATTATTGTTGTTCATGAATTGAATTTGGTTTTATATATTCATTTTGGTTTTTGTTGAACTAAATTATTTCGATTTATATGGTTAATGTAATTACTATTCATTAAGTGTACCTGATTTTATATATATACTTTTTTCTAGTTTCTATATGTTATGAAAAGTATATTGATTTAGAACTGTTTATATTATATTTGTGAATATAGGCCTCTTGGGGAACCGAACACCCAAAAAAGATAGGTAACACGCCTACATTGCATCCTCAGAGGTGGTGAGGAAAAGCAATAAATATGCAATAAACTTTTGTTTGGTAAATATTCTTGAAAATTGTCATTAGGGTTTTCCATTACAAATACCTGTTCACAAAAAAGTTATGGAACTACATTGCTTTTATTTACATCTCAAGTAGTCAAACAGCAACTGACACTGTCATCGATTCTACCAGAGATAAAGATATTTATTCTTAATACATGTTGGATATTTTAATTACCAAATATTATTATTTTGTCCGATCTGGCTACAACAGAAAATGTTATAAAAAACCGCAAATTTTGAGGCGCCCTCACACTGGAAAGAGTTGGACATCCCATTATCCCTGGTTTCTACGGTATAATAACTGTCGCAAGTGCCCGCGGGCTATAAGCTCCTGATCACTGGTCTAAACCCATTTCATTCATATTAAGTGCTAAACCACATAATTTTAATCTTTAAGTAAGCTTTTTCATTTAATTTCACTAAAATATCACTCATTTTAGCCAACGTAAACGATTTAAAGATAGGTGGGAAGTCAAAAATCACTATATATATTGTATATTGGGGGCAGAAAAGGCCTGGGCTAATTGCAAAAACTTATTTTATAAATATATAACTCATACATTGACCGACATATTCGGCTTATTGTTTATCAGAACAATGAAAACCATTATATGTAGTATATGAGGAGAGATATTGCAGACTTGAAAAAGTTCAAAAGTAATATAACTTATGTTTTTTTTAAATTCCTCCCACTGTAGATATGACGATGTTGATTTTATGAAGTCAACGGTACGTTATTCCACTAGAATAATGAATATCATTATACGAAACAAAAATCGGTTTAAGTTCCTAATATTAATATTAAAAGGCGAGTTACGATTTTCGATTTCCAACCTCACATGCATATTTGTTATATTGTTTGAATGTTTAATGCATTTGAATCAATAATTGTATAGTAAAAATGAAAACTTAGGAAATTTAACAATAAATAAAGATTTAACATGATTTTTTGCTAAGTCGACTCATATAAAAGTTTTCCCAGGTCAAAGTCCAACCCTAATTCGTAAATAAAAATGTATACATTTTATTACATTATTTTACAAAATTATGCGTTCCAAAGTAACCAGTAAAAAAGTAACCAAGTAAACTCTAGTGGCGCCATCTATATGTCGACTTGTGCGTTAGAATCTGCTATCCTTTATCGACTTCCTGTAAACATGACATTTCATCTATTGGAAGTGAAGTTATTGTGTTTTAAGTGTCAGTATGTTTTTGTCATCGGCGCGAAAATGAACTTCGAACAAAGAGCCAACATTAAATTTTGTTTTAAAATTGGTAAAACTTTTACCAAAACGTTTCAATTGGTGAAACAAGTTTATGGCGATGATTGCCTATCCCGTAGCAGAGTGCATGAGTGGTTTCAAAGATTTCAAAGTGGTCGCGAAGACATAAATGACGATGAACCCAAATCCAACAAGTAAGGAAGGGCTAAGTTCGGATGTAACCGAACATTTTATACTCTCGCAAAGTCAAATGGTATACTCGTTTGAGATTTCTTTGTGGATTGACTGATATTTTCGGTAGAAGGTCAACTATAGGCACTGGGGTCCACATATTTAGTACTTAGGGCTTTTAACAGTTTTAATTCGATTAAGACAATTTTCGGCCGCAAGGTGGCATACTTTAATTGCATTATTCACGCAAAGTTTTACCCCGATATAATCATTGTTACCTGATTTGCATAGTGGAAAGTGAAAGAATCAGATGGAATTGAAAATGGTGTTACATGGGAAGTAAGCGTGATTGTAGTCCGATTACGCCCATTTTCGCACTATGACATAGAAACATGAAAAGAACTTTACGCACCGAATTTGGTTGAAATGGGTTAAGCAGATCTCAAGATATGGGTTTTCACCTAAAAGTGGGTGTGCCACGCCCACTGTCTAATTTTGAACGCGGTTCCATAAAGTCATCTTATACCATCTCAGAGATAAAATTTAATGCTCTGGCGTGTTTAGTGCTTGATTTATCGCGCTTTTAGTAGTTTTTAACAGTACCGTTATATGGGAGTGGGCGGAGTTGCCACCCGATTTCAACTATTTTCACACCGTCAATAGAAGTGCTAAAACATATGCTTCCAGTGAATTTTGTTATTATAGCATTAGCGGTTTAGGATATGCACATTAAACCTATTAGAGGCGGGACCACGCCCACTTTTTAAAAAAATTTAACTGCAGATGCCCTCCTAATGTGATCCTGTGTACCAAATAACAGTCTTGTATCTTATTGCGGAGCTTAGTTATGGCAAGTTATTGTTTTTGATTAATGGCGTTTTGTGGGCGTGGCAGTGGTCCGATTACGCCCATCTGCAATACCAACCGTCTCACGGTACCATGAAACATGTCTACCAAGTT